TGTGAGATGTAAAATAAGAGAGAGAGCAAGAGAGTTAGAGTAATGTTGCAAACAAATGAGGCCTGAAGCAATTTTAAACCCAAAACCCGTGCTCTTGAACTGGTTCAGTCTTCTTGTACATGTTCATCATGAACTTCATTGGCTTCGTTATCTGAAATATCATAATCAGATAAAGACATGACATGAGGACCTTTATTAAGAAAAACGACATAATAAAAATCATTAGTATCATTCAGAGGAGAATCGCTATCACTTAAAGTAGAATTTTCAGACATAGAAACTTTCATCGCTTTTCCTTTATTCTTATCATTTTGTTCTTTCTTAGGACTAGGATAAACATTGGCTGCATGACCTTTGCCACTACAAATCCAGCAAATAAACTCAGTTTCTTTTAATTCTTCTACTTTCTTTTCATTGAACCTAAACTTTGACGTTTTGTCAAAATTTTAAGGATTAGCCATGTTGTTATTCTTTCTCCTCTGTTGTCTTTGCAAAATCTGACTAAATTGTCTTGACAAGAATGCAAGATCATCATCAAAGTTGTCATTCACAGAATTCTCAACCTGTGTAGATTTTAAAGCAAGATTTTTCTCTTTCTGATCTAACTCAAAATTTTGCATCTCAGAAGTTTTTAATGAACCTACCATCTTATCTACTTTAGAGCAGGTCCATTGGTGCGATTTCCAGGGATTCTAGGCCAATTTTGAAGAGTGGGATGCTCCAATGGACTCTTTAAAAAATGGGCCCAATTAAAACAATCTTGATCCAAGTAACCAAAAACCAAGATTGGTTTGGCGAATTGCGGGCCTGACATGCTGGCCCGCATCAAGTTTCTTTTTCTTTTTTAATTCTGGCCCAAACAGTGTTTTAGCTCAGAACACTATTTGGGAAGGCCTGATTGGCTAGAAAAAAAAAAAATAAATAAAGGAAAAAAATTAGTTTTTTGGTTGATTTTGGTCTCTCTCTTTTTTTTTTTTCCCCTCAAAATAGTTGAACCAAAGAGACATTAAGGCATTGTTTGGCTAACACAAACAGTGCCTTAAAGGCTTTTTTGGGCAAAAAAAGTTTTTTAAAAAATAGATCAAAGTATATTTTTTTTTTTTAAATTTGCTTTTTAAAATATTCCTACTAACATATAACCGTTTTAGGCACTATTTGGCTGACCCAAACAGTGCCTTAACGGTTATATTGGTACAAAAACCTATTTTTTGATTTTTTTTAAAAAAAAAATTCATTATATACATATTTATTTTTATTTTTTTAAAAATAAAACCTTTCATTGTTTATTTCAAATGATATTAGAAACCTTTCATTGTTTAGTTCAAATATGATTTTTTTATTTTAAAAAATAAATTTTATTCTAAATTTTAAAAATATTAAAATAATAATATTTTTGAAAAGCAAAAAAACACGTACATTTGATAGCTAAAATTTAAATATTTTAAAATACTGACGTGACTATAAAAAAATACTAATTTGGCAAATTCGGACAGCCGGAATTATGAGAGTCCTGTTGACAAATCCCAATATTCGGTGATTGTTTCAACTCTAAATACTAATTTGGCAAATTCGGACAGCCGGAATTCTGAGAGTCCTGTTGACAAATCCCAATATTCGGTGATTGTTTCAACTCTAAATATGAAATCTACAACTATTACCCCGAGTCTCTCTCACTCAGCTCCACTTCTCAACTCATCGCGACAAACAATATCTTTCCTCTCTCGCCTCCTCGCTCCTTTTGCACCTCTCTCCCCCATCCCACCACCAATATCAGGTCCTTCTCTAATTATATCTCACTCAGCTCACTCCTCAACTCATCACCACAAACTTCTTTCCTCTCTCGCATCCTCTACCGCTCCTTTTCCAGCTCTCTCCCCCATCCCACCACCACCACCAATATCAGGTCCCTCTGTAATGATATCTACAAAGAACGCAACCTTGGGAGACTTGTTGAAAAGTTCAAGAAATATTCCTAGTATGAACGCTTCCGCACCAAAGTCGGTATTTACAAGTCCACCATCCTCCGCCTCGCCTTCGCCAAGAAGTTCATACTGATCGAAGAAATCCTCGAAGATCAGAAGAAGTACAGTAACATTTCCAGAGAAGAATTCAATGGTCGCCTCATTTCTCTTTACGGCAAGTCCGGCATGTTCGATCATGCATCCAAGGTGTTCGACGAAATGCCGGACCACAAATGTGATCTTACCTTGAGGTCTTTCAATGCCCTTCTTGGGGCTTATGTTAATTCGAAGAAATTTGATAAGATAACGTTCATACTGATCGAAGAAATCCTCGAAGATCAGAAGAAGTACAGTAACATTTCCAGAGAAGAATTCAATGGTCGCCTCATTTCTCTGTAAGGCAAGTCCGGCATGTTCGATCATGCATCCAAGGTGTTCGACGAAATGCCGGACCACAAATGTGATCGCACCGTGAGGTCTTTCAATGCCCTTCTCGGGGCTTGTGTTAATTCGAAGAAATTTGATAAGATAACTGGGCTTTTCCATGAACTGCCGGAGAAATTATTGATTAAGCCAAACGTAGTTTCATATAACATTGTGATTAAGGCCTTCTGCGAGATGGGTTCGTTGGATTCTGCAATTTCGTTGCTTGATGAGATGGAGAAGAATGGATTAGACCCTGATGTGATCACATTCAATACGTTACTGGACACCTTTTATGCGAGAAATTGGTTTGTGGATGGTGAGAAGATATGGGCTAGAATGGAAAACAAAAATGTTGTTCCTAATATTAGAAGTTACAATGCAAGGTTGGTTGGGTTGGCTACTGAGAAGAAAATGTTGGAAGCAGCTGAGTTAGTTGCAGAATTGGGGGCTAAGGGGTTGAAAGCTGATGTATTTACTTACAATGCTATGATTGGAGGCTATTGCATGGATGGAAGCATAGAGGAAGCCAAGAGGTGGTATAGAGAACTGGCCAGTCAAGATGATTGTGCCGCAGATAAGTCGATTTTTACAATGCTAGTTCCCTTTGTCTGTGAGAATGGTGTTTTTGATTATGCTTTTGAGCTGTGCAAGACTATCATCCATAGTCAATGTCTTGTTGATGCAAAATTGCTGCAGGATGTGGTAGATGGGTTGGTTAAACAGTCAAAGATTGAAGAAGCTAAGAGCTTGTTCAGCTGGGGTACTCAAATAATTACACTTGCTATAACCTGAAAATGCCTTCAGACAAGTAATGAAATTTTTACTAATTTTGTTGTATGATCTTGTGTGTTGAATCCTTGTGCTAGTTAGACAAGCGGGAAGGAATTTTGCTGAATTTTGGAGATCTAGTAACTAGTTAATTTTTATTAAAAGCTGGAATTGGCATTAAATAAATTGCAAAATGGTCTGTTATTTTTTGTTATACTTAATGTAATCCCTTTTCTGACTCATCTTAAGCTTCTCATGGTGTAGTCAAATTTGCTTTACTGTGATAAATTCATATTTGTTGGTCTTGACACTAAATTGATTCACTGATGCAAATTTTGGCATGTAAGTTAAAATGATTATTTGGTTTTATACTTGTTTATATTGTAAATTAATTTTTCTTGTTGTTTTGGTGTTAAACAGGTTGCATGGTAGCATTTATCTGGTTGTTAATAATTTAGGGTTTCACATATTTTGTATCTTTAACATGCAATTTTTGTTTCTAGTTTATGAAGATAGAAATCAGAGAGAACTTGTACTTTGTATCGTTTAACTGGTAATTTGCATTGTTTATGCTTCGGTTCCAGAAATTCAAATGGACATTGGGTTGAGATGGTCTAACACAGGCAGTTTTTTGTTTATTTATTCATTCTTTTTTTTTTTTTTTTTTTAATGCAGGAATACATCTTGTTTCCAATTTTCAGAAGCTTTGATAAAATTCTATAACTTAATCCCACTCTGTTGTTGACTCAAGTGTAATCTAGAAACTATTACAATTGATTCGCCCTTATATGCATGTACTTTTCTGAAAAAGGGTGTCAGATCAAGTGAGGTAATATATAGTATTTCTTATCGTATCATGCGTGATATTATCTTCAATCTATGACTAGATCAACAAGCATTATGTGCGCACGAGAGCTGCTGTCATTACTGACATAATATTGTGGTTACGACAATAATTGTGTTGGTTTGGCCTCACCTTTCTGTTCATAACTTCACGCCCAGATAATTGCATTTATTAGCTCAGTAATGTTATAAACAGAGAGTGACTCCAAAGGTAGAGGGGAAGGCCGTACAATGTGACTCTCTTCAAACCCTTCTCTTTCAAGATCTCGGAGCAACCCACCCTGAAACTCCAAGCATCCAGTCGGAGGGAAGCCTTACCCCACTCCCGACGGCCCTCCTTAAGCACACGAGCTGCCTCTGCCGGAGAAGGAAAACGAAAAAGCGACAGAGTCCGACAGAGGCAAAACCACCACCCCAGATGCAACCTTCCAAACACGCGTCGCCAACTCAGCGATCTGAGCCCGATCACCCACATCCCTGTCGAACAAACCCACCAAACATGACCGAAGATCCAGGAAGATCAAAGGCCCTCTATATGTATTAGCAGATCTAGCAAAACCACCCTGAAAAAGACGAGGCAAACGTGCCACCTCCAAAAAAGAACGCATGACCAAGGCAACTACTCCTTGTGGCAAAAGATTAGTGGAGTAACATTGAATGTAAATTCAATAGTTATTTATTTAATTTTTCATTAAAAGAATAATTTAAGTGTGTCAAAATTAACTGTACATTTTTGTCATCTCGGAACATTTCAAAATAAACTTTTAAATTTTACAAGAATGTCATTATATTTTAAATATATTTTCAAAAAATATATCTCAAGGATTTTTTCAAAGAATTTCCCCGAGCATTAATGCAATAATCTAATCTAATCCAACAAATGCTCGATAGTTGAGTGAATTAGTGTATTTTATGAGTTTTGAAGTGTCAGATTTTGACTCTCTGTATTTACTAATCTAATTTCTATCTCTATAATTTAGTGGGTTAAAGTGTCAGATTCCAACTCATTATATCTAATAATTTAACTTATAACCCTTGCCTAAAAAAAAAATATCAATTATTTTGCTCTTATTTACAAAAAGGTCCTCTCCCCCAAAAACCTAAACTAAGAAACCAAAACCCTACCACTGTTACCCCGAGTCTCTCTCACTCAGCTCCACTTCTCAACTCATCGCCACAAAAAATGTCTTTCCTCTCTCGCCTCCTCTACCGCTCCTTTTGCACCTCTCTCCCCCATCCCACCACCAATATCAGGCCCCTCTCTAATGATATCTCACTCAGCTCACTCCTCAACTCATCACCACAAACTTCTTTCCTCTCTCACATCCTCTACCGCTCCTTTTGCAGCTCTCTCCCCCATCCCACCACCACCATCAATATCAGGTCCCTCTGTAATGATATCTACAAAGAACGCAACCTTGGGAGACTTGTTGAAAAGTTCAAGAAATATTCCGAGTATGAACGCTTCCGCACCAAAGTCGGTATTTACAAGTCCACCATCCTCCGCCTCGCCTTCGCCAAGAAGTTCATACTGATCGAAGAAATCCTCGAAGATCAGAAGAAGTACAGTAACATTTCCAGAGAAGAATTCAATGGTCGCCTCATTTCTCTTTACGGCAAGTCCGGCATGTTCGATCATGCATCCAAGGTGTTCGACGAAATGCCGGACCACAAATGTGATCGCACCGTGAGGTCTTTCAATGCCCTTCTTGGGGCTTGTGTTAATTCGAAGAAATTTGATAAGATAACTGGGTTTTTCCATGAACTGCCGGAGAAATTATCGATTAAGCCAAACGTAGTTTCGTATAACATTATGATTAAGGCCTTCTGCGAGATGGGTACATTGGATTCTGCAATTTCAATGCTTGATGAGATGGAGAAGAATGGATTAGACCCTGATGTGATCACATTCAATACGTTACTGGACACCTTTTATGGGAGAAATCGGTTTGTGGATGGCGAGAAGATATGGGCTAGAATGGAAAACAAAAATGTTGTTCCTAATATTAGAAGTTACAATGCAAGGTTGGTTGGGTTGGCAACTGAGAAGAAAATGTCGGAAGCAGTTGAGTTAGTTGCAGAATTGGGGGCTAAGAGGTTGAAAGCTGATGTATTTACTTACAATGCTATGATTGGAGGCTATTGCATGGATGGAAGCATAGAGGAAGCCAAGAGGTGGTATAGAGAACTGGCCAGTAAAGATGATTGTGCCGCAGATAAGTCGACTTTTACAATGCTAGTTCCCTTTGTCTGTGAGAATGGTGATTTTGATTATGCTTTTGAGCTGTGCAAGACTATCATCCATAGTCGATGTCTTGTTGATGCAAAATTGCTGCAGGATGTGGTAGATGGGTTGGTTAAACAGTCAAAGATTGAAGAAGCTAAGACGCTTGTTCAGCTGGGGTACTCAAATAATTACACTCGCTATAACCTGAAAATGCCTTCAGACAAGTAATGAAATTTTTACTAATTTTGTTGTATGATCTTGTGTGTTGAATCCTTGTGCTAGTTAGACAAGCGGGGAAGGAATTTTGCTGAATTTTGGAGATCTAGTAACTATTTAATTTTTATTAAAAGCTGGAATTGGCATTAAATAAATTGCAAAATGGTCTGTTATTTTTTGTTATACTTAATGTAGTCCCTTTTCTGACTCATCTTAAGCTTCTCATGGTGTAGTCAAATTTGCTTTACTGTGATAAATTCATATTTGTTGGTCTTGACACTAAATTGATTCACTGATGCAAATTTTGGCATGTAAGTTAAAATGATTATTTGGTTTTATACTTGTTTATATTGTAAATTAATTTTTCTTGTTGTTTTGGTGTTAAACAGGTTGCATGGTAGCATTTATCTGGTTGTTAATAATTTAGGGTTTCACATATTTTGTATCTTTAACATGCAATTTTTGTTTCTAGTTTATGAAGATAGAAATCAGAGAGAACTTGTACTTTGTATAGTTTAACTGGTAATTTGCATTGTGTATGCTTAGGTTCCAGAAAGACATTGGCTTGAGATGGTCTAACACAGGCAGTTTTTTGTTTATTTATTTATTTATTTATTTTTTTTAATGCAGGAATACATCTTGTTTCCAATTTTCAGAAGCTTTGATAAAATTCTATAACTCAATCCCACTCTGTTGTTGACTCAAGTGTAATCTAGAAACTATTACAATTGATTCGCCCTTATATATATGTACTTTTCTGAAAAAGGGAATCAGATCAAGTGAGGTAATATATAGTATTTCTTATCGAAGTTGGTATATTATGCGTGATATTATCTTCAATCTATGACTAGATCAACAAGCATTATGTGCGCACGAGAGCTGCTGTCATTATTGACATAATATTGTGGTTACCACAATAATTGTGTTGGTTTGGCCTCACCTTTCTGTTCATAACTTCACGTCCAGATAATTGCATTTATTAGCTCAGTAATGTTATAAACCAAAATCAACATACGATAAGATCAACTAGAATAGAGAAACAATCACACTACTTGTCTACTGGCACTTTCGGTTTTTAGTGAAAGCAATTATTTGACTTTGTCAAGTCAGTAGGACTATAAGTTGACATTTTTTTTCAAAACCAAGTCTGTATATTTATCTTTTCTTCTGTTTTTTTTCATTTTCTTTCATTTTCTTTTCAAAAATATAAATATCAAGAGTTACTTTAGTTAGTTAGGTCAAGTTTACCTTTGATCCAAAGTCCGTGAATATTTAAGAGATCAACAAGCATAAGAGGTAAAATTATCACTAAAATATCAATCTCTCTAATTAACGTTTATACTAATGCTTTCATATCAGATTGTTGGTCATATATGTTTATTCCGAAAAAAGGTGTTTGAAATGCATAGAAACTGTGTTTGATTGAGAAGCTTAAGTTTCATGGTAATAGATTTGATTGTAGGTTTTATTGATGAATCAGTTGAACTCTGCAAACATCAGTTTTCTATTTGGTTTTAAATATCTTAAACTGTAATTTCTCCCATCCTAAACTCTATATAAGCAATCCCAATGTCCTATAACATATATACGCAAATTCATAGCTATCAACCATTCTTTTGAGAGCATCTAGGATTATTTTGCTTCTTTCAGCATTACCACATGCATACTTGTCATATGATGGTGATCCTGAGTATACAAGAACAAAAAACAATCTTGTGCTGGAGAATGTTGGTCCCCTTGAGGAATGGGTTTGTTATTGACAACAGCAGAATCCAGGTGGAGAATCTGTCATGAATTTAAGATAAGGGTGATTCTAGGGTAAAACCCTGATGCCTTGAGTTGTAACATTTTTCTTAATAGCGATCGGTTCTGAGTGAAGTAGGTCCAATATTTTTTCTCCCTTTATGTTTTTTCATGTAATTTGGCGCTGTGTGTGGATTGTTCTTTTCTTTGATTTCTGCATTATTTCTTATTGTGGTGATTGGTTGATATTTTAAATTTTTGTCAACTTCCTAAACAAAAATTAACAGAATTATTCACCCACTCTCTAGGTCAGGGTATAGTGACTCTAAGGTATCAGAACCTAGGTTGTCGACTTCCCCAACTCCACGAGCCTCTTTTCAATCTTCAATCTTTATACATCTTAATAAATCCATCTAACATTAGCTGCCCTGTTTTTGTAATTATTTTTTGTGCTTGTAATTTTTCTTTTTGTTTTTTTTTTTTTTTTCCTTGGCTTTGAATCTGTAACTAATTACTTTTTATAATTCAAGTAGATTGGACGAAAGAAGCATTTAAACTGTTGTAATACAGGGCTTTCTTTATATGCCTTGTTCAAATGTTTTTGGCCCCAGTTTCCCCCTTTTTAATAGATTAACACGCTACAGGAAGTTTTCTAAGTGAATGCTATGACTAGTTAATTTAATGTTTAGGAACCTTTCATGAGTTAGCGTGTGACTCAACTGTTGTTCATTTCTAAAACTTTGAACAAACTTAAACAATTGACTTAAGTAAAACATCTTGTTCACTTTTAAAACTTTTAACAACTTTGTTGCACTCTTCAAGAGTAGATGTTATCATGAATCGAGTACTTATTTCATTTATTTTTGAGTTTTTAAGGTCCTTTTTTATTGGATTAATCTGCTTGTACATGTGTTTAGATATAGATAAATCTCAGTCGGATCCATGGCTACGGAGACATTAGACAGAAGTTGGTGCATAGACAGAAGCAGGACTAAGTGATCAACTAACAGGGTGAGTAGAATACTTTACCTTTACTCAATTTCCTCTATCCAAACATCTGCCATTTTCTCAATGTCTATACTCAATCTCAAGGCCACTGTTGGAAAGCAACATTCAGACCCATTTTTTTTATAGTTGCCTCTCTACGGAAATTGTTTGCTCGAACCTGAAACTTAATGTTTCATGAGGCACCAAACTAAAGTTCTCGCCTACTAAGCCAATCCATTCGGACCCATTTTGTTATCGAGCCATTACTTCTTGTATTACCCACCGGCCAACAACACTTGTGGGTGAAACAATCAAAACGATAGTTCTATAAAAATGTCTTCTACACTCTTTTCTGGTAGTGCGCCAAAGCAATTTTCCATTGTTGAGTCGTATCACCAAGACACTTATTATTTTTTCCTGAGTTCACGTTAAAGGCTCTTTTTCAAGTCTCTTTTGATCATTCATGGCTCGTTTTTTTTATAAAAATTGAACTTTTATCCTTTGAAATTTTCTGAGATATTATTGAGCGCACATTTCTTGGATTCGACGTCTGTTTTTTACTGTGTTATAAAAATCTTTGAAATATCTAGTGCCTAGAGATAAGAAATCTCAAGAGTCTGGTGGTGCTTTGTTGCTCACCCTAGCTCTAGCTTGATTGTAATTAATAAGAATCTATTGATTATTATTATTATTATTTTCCTCATCGTAATCGAACGATGGCCAACTAGCTAGAAAGGATGGCCAACTAGCTAGAAAATTTCCTGGAAGGTGGCCTCAAAGAAATTTGATCTCATCCTATTCTAATATTTTCACACAAGGTATTTATGCAAAGCCACCAAATTATTATTATTATTATCTTGGTAGTGAAATCCACCATTGACATGAAAGCATCAAAAACCAAACCTCTTCTGCCATGTAAGAGGCCATATCAGGCAACAAAAATTCAATAGCAAATGCCATGAACTTTAATTTTTCACTTTGTTTATATTATTTATGAGCATGACTGCCTTTCAATCTTTGTAGAAGATCAAGCACAATCTGAATGTGCGCAAAATTATTGTAAAAATAATGAAAACGTTTTGGATGGAGAGAGTTTAGGTTAAACTTTTGACTTCTATAAAAAAATTTTGAAAGTTTAGGTTAAACTTTTGTCTTTGACATGAAAGCAGCATTTACTAGAGTTGAAACGATGTCAGCTAGCTTTACGAGTATACTCTGATTTTGCTTTATGACATGATACTCGTGGTCCAAATGAACAGGATAAGAACTAGGAATAAGAGTAGTTTTAAATTAAAACGAGCTGCAATTCTCGTCTCTTTTCTTTACAATCTTAAACACTTGTATCATATCCTTGACTGACAAAATTCATATTCAAATATACATGACAAAAGTTATTGACTTGGCCTGGTACCAGGACTAGCGCTGATTACGTTGTAAATCCGTGTTTTAATTAGCCCTCAATTCTGATGTCAAGTTAAAAAATTAAATTAAAAATAAAATATTTGCTGTCTATATTGGATCACTTAACATTCCAACATTGTCATTGGTTTTCAGCCAATTACTGGAGCGAATTTTATACCTCGATTAGAAATTATTACATGGGTTTTCATCCATTTGATTAATTTAGTAAAAATTAATGTTGAAATTTTTTTTTTAATATATTAATACGATCCAAAAATATAAACTGTTTCATCAGGGTTAAAGGCATCTACAATATTATCTCTTTGGAGAGGATGTCATACCACCTTGATTACAAAAAATAAAAAGTAAAATAAATTATAATAATAATAATGTAACATGTTTTATATACCGACAGTTTTATACATCAACAGCAAATGAATTAAATCTAAAAATAAAACGATGGATGTAAAAATGCAACCTATGGACTTGTTGAGAGTGCCACTTGCCACGGCCTAGATTTGCCTTGTTTTGTCACGTTTAATGAATCTCATCCGACGACTGACTTCAACCAAAACAGTGATTTTTGCAACTTATGATGAAGGTCCCATTATAGTTGTCGGTGAGCTGAGATTAATAAAACGAGGACTATTATCTTGAAAGTTCAACTAATGACATAAAAAACGTGGTAATTTATCACCAATGAGAGGAGTGGTCTCTCTCTTTCATTACTACTAACATAGTAAGATCCTCTTACTATAAATAACTACTTGTAACAATCGCAATACTCATCTTCACAACTTCAATCCCATCTTCACAACTTCAATCCAATGGCTTCTGGTTTGATAGCTTCATTCCCTCTTAGCACTTTCACTCGACCAACACATGCCACACTCGTTTCACAGCGAAAATCTAGCAGTGTCACTGTCTCTTTCGCTGCTGCTAAAGCTTGCAATCAAACTGTCGTTCGGAGGTCTGGAAACTACCAATCCAACATTTGGGACTATGATCGTCTCGAGTTATTGACGAGTGCTTATGAGGTAATATAAATTAATTATATATATCAACATAGTTTTATTATATGTATTAATGGTGTAATGCACTGTCACTAACAAAACAGAAAGTCAATACTGCAGACACAACAATATACAAGGAGAGCAGAAAAGCTGAAGGAAAACGTGAGGATGATGCTGGAAAAACAAGTGTTGGATCATTCGGATCAACTTGACCTTATTGATGTCTTACAAAGACTTGGACTATCCTATCACTTCCAAAATGAAATATCGAAAATACTGGAGAATATATACGTCACTGATAATAGCAGCAGCAAGTGGAAGCAAGACAACTTATATGCTACGGCCCTTCAATTTAGACTCCTCCGACAACATGGATTTCATGTTCCTCAAGGTAATTTAATTGTTTCTTCTTATGTTTTCTATATATTCGGGAAGAAAAAAATGAAATGGACATCAATTATTGATAGTTTGAATGCTGCAGATGTTTTCAATAGTTTTGTGGATGATTTGGGAAAATTCAAGGCATGCCATTCTGTGGATACCAAGGGAATGCTTTGTTTGTATGAAGCATCCTACTTATCAGTAGAAGGTGAAAACATGTTGGAGGCGGCCAAGGATTTCACAACTACACATCTCCAAGGAAATGTGGGGCAGAACATAGATGATCAAATTCTCGCAATGCAAGTGAGACGCGCGTTGGAGGTTCCTCTGCATTGGAGGATGCCAAGGTTAGAGACAAGGTGGTTCATAGATGTATATGAGCAGAGACAAGACATGAATCCCCTGTTGCTTGAGCTTGCGAAATTGGATTTTAACATGTTGCAAGCAACACATTTGACAGAACTCAAACATATGGCAAGGTAAAAAAGAATGCAAATTTTTGTTTAATCTCGGAAAAATAAAGGTATAAAGCTGCTAAAAGAATCTACTTCTTTGGTTTCTTCTGTAGGTGGAGTAGAAGTACAGGCTTTGGAGAAAACTTGAGCTTCGCTAGGGATAGGTTGATGGAGAATTACTTATGGACCGTGGGGATACATTCTGAGTCGCAGTTTGGATACTGTAGGAAGATGCTCACAAAGATCAACACTTTCATAACAACAATTGATGATGTCTACGATGTCTATGGCACCATAGATGAACTCGAACTCTTTACAAATGCCGTTGACAGGTTAGTGAAGTAACACAAACTGTATATGCTTTGAAAAGTTTGAAATTAAGATCTTAAGATAGCTACAATAGAAATTAAGATTTTAGGTCTGTATTTTCAGATGGGATATCAATGCCATGGAGCAACTTCCAGGCTATATGAAGATATGTTTTCTTACTCTATACAACTCCATTAATGAGATGGCTCACTATTCGCTCAAAGAACAGGGTTCTTATATTATTCCATATTTAAAGAAAACGGTAATGCTTCCGTTCTCTTTAACTCGTATTCTTACTCTCTTTTTTTATATATTTAATTAATTACCTGGACCACCTTCATGTGTTCTAGTTTCTTATTCTGATCATATTTACAGTGGGCAGAACTATGTAAATGCTACTTGATGGAGGCAAAGTGGTATCACAGTGGACACAAACCAACCTTAAGAGAGTACCTTGACAATGCATGGGTGTCAATTTCGGGTCCTGTAGTACTGGTTCATGCTTATTTTTTCGTTACAAAGCCCCTAACGAAGGAAGCCTTGGAATTTTTGGAGAGATATCCAAGTATAATCCGCAATTCGTCCTTGATTTTTCGACTTTCAAATGACTTGGGAACTTCTTCTGTATGCATTTCTAAACCCTTATATTCTTTACTGTTAATATCTATATTTCATGATGGAAGCAACATAACAACGTGAATCTCTTGATTTAGGATGAGGTGCAAAGAGGTGATGTCCCAAAATCAATCCAATGTTACATGCACGAAACAGGTGCTTCTGAAGAAGATGCCCGTAATTACATGAAGTACTTGATTGATGAAGCATGGAAGAAAATGAATGAAGATGGATTTTCGGTTTCTTCCTTCTCCGAGACTTTCATTCAGACAACAATGAACCTTACTAGGACGGCACAATGCTTTTACCAGAACGGAGATGGGTATGGTGTTCATCAAGATCGGGAGACTAAGGATCACGTACTATCATTGCTTATTGAGCCCATTCCTCTTCTCTAGTGAAGTTTAATTGTGAAGTTCATATTTTTATTCTAATCACATAGAAGGTCTCGACGTGTTACAGTGGTCAATAGAACAACTGTAATTTTGTGTTTAATATTCAAGTACCCTTATTAATGTAATTTTGTGTTTCATTAATATGTAAAAGTGGGTGGTATAAAATTTGGACTAGGATCTCTAGGTTAAAACTTCTCTACATTATCCTAAGTTAAATCTTGAAAATTTTGATATGTGGCCTTTATCACATATCTATGACTCATAATGCACCACATCAAAAAAAAATAAAAAATAAAAAATAAAAATTGTTTAACTGATGAACATAAAAACCCAAATGCTAAAATTTCTTCAACTCTTTCGGGTCTCTTATGCCTGAAAGTAGTGGGCTCTTCATGGATTGGTACATAATTGGTGGTGAAGTTTACAAATTTGTGGTGATCATCGGTGAGTTTAAACCCTAATTTTCAATTTAGACTGAATAACTTGCACTTAGACGGAATCAAATACACTTACCAACTTGATGTAATAAACAAATCATATATTCAAAAGAACACAATTATCTCATTGATTTAGATAATAAAGAAATAAAATTAAAAAAAATTGATTAACCTAGCTTTATGTCCAGTGGGAGGAAATTGGAAGCAGTCGAGTTCAGGTTTAAACATAAAAAATAAATTAGAATAGAGGAAAGACAATGAAAGGTGAAGAAATCGGAGAATCTAGTTACATGAGATGAAATGAAAATAATAATAATAATAATCAAACCAAGAATACTAATAGAGAGAGGTGGGCGGTTGGAAACTAAAAGCTGTTTTTCTTCCTCAAAACATTGTCGTTTCAAGATTTTTTTATCACTAAATTATGTGGAACGTTGTGTAATGTTGTGGGTTATTATGTATATATAAATGTGTGTTTAGGTTATAAAAGAATAATTATAAAAAGGAAAAAGAAAAAAAAAAAAAAAAGTAAGTGGGCCCCACCCATGCTTTTAACATTGCAGAAAGGCCATAACGCCATTAAAAAAACGTGGGTTTCTCTCTCTCTCGGCTATATCACTTTCCCCTCTCGGCAGTTTCATTTTTCTTCTCTTTTTGCAACTTTCAAACTTTGATCTAGCTTTAATCTTTTGGATTTTGGTAGAACATTGTGAAGCAAAGTTGTTAAGCTCGTCAAGGCCTTCAATTTGATAGGAGCCAATCATCATTTGGTGCACTCTAGGGAGTTCAAAATTCTAGGGTTCTTGGGTTTGGATTTGGGGATTTTGGGAGTTTTCACTTCCATTGAGGTAGGGGTGTTCTAATCTACAACTTCTTAGCTCTTTTTGTGAATTTTGCCCCTTAAATTTGATCCTAAGCATGCTAATTTTGATTATCTAGTTTGTGGTTGAAGCATGTTTAACTAAAATGCTAAATGTGTTCCATGTATTATTTGAATTCATATATATGACTAGATTTATTACGGTGATTGAGCATGTTTGGTGTTGACATGTTGTATGTCCTAAGATTATGTATTTATTTATTTATTTATTGCTTTGAAAGAAAATGATGCTATGGTCAATAAATAAATAAAAGAAATGAATGCTTATAAATTTCTATTAAATTGTGGTGATGATGTAAATGGAATGTATGAAAGCCTATGGTTGAATTGATAAATTGAAGCATGCGCATTCATGCATTCATTGGGAAAGAGAAAGGGGGAAAAAATGTTTTTTTTGAACAAACGAAATTATTTTGGGAAAAATATTTTTTTTAAAGGAGTTTGAGAAAACCGGACGCCTAGGAGGCGCCTAGTGGTCCATGGTGTTAGTGTAGTCTAGAAGGGATCATGGTTGAGCTAACTAGGCCGGATGCAACGCCTTGGAGGTGCCTTGTGGTCGTGGATAGTTAGTCAACCCTCCATTCGTGACGCCTTGGAGGTGCCTTGGGTCGGATTACATTAACGGTTTTGGAAGTTGAAACGGAAATGTTTCGGAAAATGGGGAGTAACATTTGCATATTGCACTTCATGACATTGTGGTAAACTTGTGATTGGGTGGTATTTGTTACATACTTGTTATTGTATTTGAGAGTGTGTGTTTCCTTATAGCATGATCCCTTTCACTTTTTATCTATTCATTGTATGGATTCACGGGGATATAAGAAGTGTGTCTTAGACACTTCCTACTGAGCTTATACTCACCCCATTATTTCTAACATTTTTCAAGACATGGAAAAGAGGTGGCGGACGACGATCCACCACGATTCTAGACGAGCACGGAGACCTATTTTTATTTATTTATTTATTTTGCTATCTTTTGTATTAAAACTCTCTAATATTTTGTAAATGTAATATTAACTAACTCGTAAAACTTTAGTTTAATTAGTATAATGTTGTAAGCCATGGACTTTTAAATTCTAACTACGTTTTTTGGACTGTAACTTGATGTAACCAAAGTATGTTCCTTGTTGGATGAGATGGAGGAATGGGATTTTGTATGTATGTAGTCACTTTGGAGATGTGATATAATATATGTATATTGCGTTGGGACAGGATATTTTAGATTTAAGGCCCTGTGAGGCCATTGTATTTTTTTTTTTTTTTTTTTTTTGTTGTATTTCAACAGGTTGTTTAGAGACATTTTCTGCGGAGGTCATGCCGAAATTTTTATAGATTTTTATTATTATTTTGGTATCCTTTTGGGTCGTTACAAATTTGGTATCAGAGCAATGGTTCAAATACCATTAGGACGACAGGTAGAGGCCTACCTAGGATTGCATGAGGAGTTGAGTTATTTGCTTACTTGCTTAATTGTTTACGTGATGGCATGCTTATATGCTTATGTGTTAAGGTGCTTAATTATTTGAAAGACGTGTTTATTTGTTTAACTGCTTATATGACTACGTGCTAAGTGCTTAATGTTGTTGTATATGATTAGCATGATTATGTTTATCATTAGTTGGGTATTCTGGGACTATGAAAGGTGCTTATGTGTTTCCATTCTTGTCAAGTCATTCGTGTGAGGACTTCGTTCTCGTGCGTATTTTAGTGTCATCGTTTTTGATCTGTTTCCTTTTTCTTATAGTGTCATGGCAACACGAAGGGATCCCGGGGAAAGTTCTAGCTCCAATCCCGTGGAAAGGGATCAGGAGCAAGTTGAGGAAGATATCTTGTTGCGTGATTTGGTCCCACCAAGAGGGGGACAAGCGAGGGGGACTGTTGATCCACCTTTTCAGATGAATAGGGAACAAATTAGGTTAGCCATTCAAGAGGCTATTTTTTATGCATATCGACCGACAGGTGCGTCATCGTCACAGTTTGTGCCACCACCGGCTCCACCACCACCATCTCCGAAGACAAATGAGCTAGATGATACTCTTTCTCACATTGCCAGGTTTGTGAAGTTGATGCCAACCTTGTTTGAGGGTGGTCCAGATCCGCTTGTTGCGGACGGTTTCCTGGATAGGGTGGAGAAGCATATTAATGCAACGGACAAGTTGAAGATCACATTGGCGACTTACAATTTTGTGGGCGATGCTGAGATTTGGTGGAAGACCGTTTCTCACACCCATAATCTGGATACTATGACATATGCTACATTCAAGAAGTTGTATTATGAGAAGTACTTTCCAGCGCCTAAGCGGAGGGAACTAAAGAAGGAGTTTGATGGGTTAAAGCAAGGAAGTATGACAGTTACAGAGTATGAAAACAAGTTTACGTCACTTTTGAGGTTTGCACCGGGAATTGCTAATGATGAAGAAGGAAAGATAGAGAAATTTGTTGATGGCCTTGATCTTACCATTAGGCCAATTGTAGCTGCTTCAGAACCGACAGAGTATGCAAAAGCAGTGCGAAAGGCTTTAGTGGTTGAGGCTGAGAGTAAGGACAACAAGGCTATCAGGGAGTCCTACAAGCACAACAGGGGTATGAGTACTTTCTCCGAAGGTCAATCAAGTAAGAAGCAGAAGCATGAGCAGTCAGGGTTCAGGGGACAGCAGCCAGTTAGATCTGCACCCACAGCTTCAGTGTCCATGGGGTCTTTCTAGACCGAATGTTACTTGTTTCAGATGCGGGCAGTTGGGACATTACAAGTCCCAATGCACTCAGACACAGGTAGCTTGGATGATTTGTTTCAAGTGTGGGCAGCCAGGGCATCACAAGTCCCAGTGTACTCAGATTTAGGTGGCGGCTGGTGGATGTTTCGGGTGTGGCCAGCAGGGCCATAGGGTGAAAGATTGTCCACAGCGGGGCAGTGGTTTGGGCAGAGGTGGAGGTTCACAGCAGAGGCAGATACAGTCTGCCACAGTTCAGTCAAGGTTTCGACCACCACCACCACCTCAGCTGTCTCAGCCAGCTATGTCAGCCCAGAGTTCTCGACCTGGTAGGGGAGCTTCTTCGAGTGCACCTACTCAGCAGTCTAGCTATCAGGCAGGCAGTTCCCAGGGGCAGAGGACCCAGGGTCGCGTGTTTGCACTTACTCCAGTCAAGTCACCATCCAGTCCTTCAGTTGTTAGGGGTATGTTTCTTGTGTCCCATTCTTGGGCTCGTGTATTGTTTGATTCTGGTGCTTCTTATTCATTCATTACTTCATCATTTGCACGGGCATTGGGTTTAGAGGTCAGTCAGTTAGACAGACCGCTTTGTGTTGACACGCCTATCGGGGGTTCAGTTGCTCTTAGTAGAGTTTGTAAGAGTTGTTCCACCATAATTGCCAAACATGTTCTTGAGTTTGATCTCATCCTTCTCGAGATGACGGGATTTGATGTCATTCTTGGGATGGACTGGTTGTCATCCTTCAGAACTGTCATTGATTATTTCAGGGGCAGAGTTTCAGTGTGTACCCCGGATGGGGATTGTTTCTGTTTTGTGGGAGATCGATGTGATCCTCTCACTCATTCATTTTATGGTGTTAGGGGTCGAGATCGGCAGACATTCTTCTTAGCTAGTCTTTTCGCCGATGATGACGTTGAGTTTTATGGGGTTGATTATCCAGCAGTTGTGCGTGATTTTCTGGATGTGTTTCCGGAGGACTTGACTGAGTTGCCTCCACACCGAGAGGTGGAATTTGCTATTGATTTTATGCCTGGTACCGCACCAATCTCTATGGCACCGATTGAATTAGAAGAATTGAAGAAGCAACTTGATGATTTGAGGATGAAAGGCTTTATCCGACCGAGTGTGTCACCGTGGGGTGCACCGGTCTTGTTCGCTAAAAAGAAAGATGGTTCTTTAAGGTTGTGCATTGATTACCGGAAGTTGAATCATGCCATCATCAAGAACAAGTATCCTTTACCAAGGATAGATGATTTATTTGATCAGTTGAGGGGAGCCAGTTATTTTTCGAAGATTGACTTGAGGTCAGGCTATTATCAGTTACGGGTTAGAGAGGAGGATATTCCAAAGACCGCGTTTCGTACGCGATATGGACATTACGAGTTTCTTATTATGCCTTTTGGTTTAACCAATGCGCCGGCGGCATTCATGGATTTAATGAACCGTGTCTTCCACGATTACTTGGATCAGTTTGTGGTAGTTTTTGTTGATGATATTCTTGTGTATTCACGGACTCGGGAAGAGCACGAGGTCCATTTGGGTATAGTGTTGCAGATTCTACAGGAGCACCGTTTGTACGCCAAGTATGAAAAGTGTGAGTTTTGGCTACAAGAGGTGAAATTTTTGGGACATGTTGTCTCGGAAGGTGGGGTTTCAGTTGATCCTTCAAAAATAGAGGCAGTTTTGAGTTGGGAGCAACCCAAGAATGTCTTTGAGATCCGGAGTTTCCTTGGCCTAGCGGGTTATTATCGGAGATTTGTGAAGGATTTTTCCCGTTTGGCAGCTCCTATGACCAGATTGACCAGGAAAGGGATCAAGTTTGCATGGAATGAGGCCTGTGAGTAATCCTTTCAAGAGTTGAAAACAAGGTTGACTACGGCTCCGGTGTTGGTGATACCTGAGCATGGCTTGGGTTATGTGATCTATTGTGACGCCTCACGTGATGGTTTGGGTTGTGTACTGATGCAAGATGATAGAGTAGTGGCTTATGGGTCTCGACAGTTGAAGACTCGCGAGCTTAACTACCATACTCATGACTTAGAGTTAGCGGCAGTTGTATTTGCTTTGAAGTGTTGGAGACACTATTTGTATGGTGAGAGATTTGAGGTGTTCTCGGACCACAAGAGTCTCAAGTACCTTTTCTCCCAAAAGGACTTGAACAACAGACAGAGGCGATGGGTTGAATTCTTAGAAGACT